GAACATTGTCTGCGGGCGTTGCATCTCAGTCCGACGGCATGCGTAGGCCGATTGAGGCTGCCAAATTTGACATCAATCGCAAATTATATATATACAGACACTCAGCCAGTGTTCAGCATTCGTGGAAGCCGTCGTTAGGCCGCTGCAAGACATTCTTCGAGCGACATTCAAAACAACTTCACTTCGACTTTATGCTTTGGAATTTTTTTTGGCAGCCAGAACAGTTGCCATCACGGAAAAGCCGAGTTTGGGATATACCACTCCTACATCGGTGGTGCCATCACGCCCGTTCGGGCTATACGTGGCAACCTCCCCCAAGGGTTTCCTTCGTTGCGTTTCATCCTCCTGCTTCGGGCATCACCAATTCCCTCGTTGCGTTGTGAGTCCCAGGCTCTCCGGTGTGTTCTCCGTCCCTCAAGGATTTTACAAACGGTTTAAAGGTCTACACCGTTCGACCTTCACATCCGAAACCCTCCGTTCAATGGCAATCTGCTTGGTCATCGTCGAGCGCATTATCTTTCAATCAAGGGGGTTGACACCTCACCAACGTTGACAAGCTGCGTTCATTACCACCAGGGTTTCCCTGTTCTCCGATTCGACAGATCAATCTTCGATCATCTGTTGTCTTACAGTACTTTGGCTTTACATCACTGGTGAATTGATGTGCTCCTGGCACATAAGAGGCGACCAGGTTCATCATCACCCTCTCCACCTCCACCACCGGCTATTGTTGTGCAGGGCTCGACGACGATGTGAGTACCTCTACCCGTTATACACAACATCTCACCTACTCTACCCAGGTCTCTCTGCTTACCGATAGTACGAATTATTGTCACCTGCAACGCGGAGCGGTATCAGGTGGTTGAAATTACGGGTGCAACCAATGGTTCGTCCATACGGGAACGTATCTTGTCAAAGGTCGTTTTAGCCTTGAAGGTTTTCCGTTGAAAATATTAATGCGTCCCTTTCCTCTTAGTTGTGTATTCCAGACGATCGCTATTCTTGGTTTCGTGTCTATCAAGCCCAAGTGGGCACGTATGCCATTGGTAGCGCTCTATCAGACGCGATGCTCTTTGAAATATGCCTTCAGCAAGGCGACCCGTCAGGGTCGTTGACATTCTTTGTGTCTACGGCCCCGGATCGACCTCCTAAAACCATGGAACCTGATTATTCAGACACTTATTTGTACTCTCAGTCGTAAGTTTGCTATCGTTCTTTACATCCAGACACTGACGGAGAGTACAGAAGCCGTAGTAGTCGTCGTCGAGTGTGTGATATAACTGTCATCCTTTGATGCTGTACTGATGCTTTACAGGGCTGAAATTGAGTGAATTTCAGATTGCTCAGTTGGGAAATCTCTTTCGTTGCTGTATATTACCGCGGTGTACGATAGGTTCTGTAGGATGTGCAAACTTGTACCACTAGCCCTATTCCAACGATACGTCCTATCGGGACACGGTTCATATGCTCTATGACTTCCTTGCTTCTGATTGGGAGACGCGGATCTTGCTATCTTCGAAAGCATGTCGCCTCCCAGTCCTGAGTGTCAAATATACGTGCCGGGTTCCGTGCACCAATATATAAAGATGCTTCCGATTCGATCCTTCTTGCTGCAGGGTCGTACGCTGTTTGAACATGAAACCCGAAAACCGTGCTTCTTCGACGGGAAGGACTGTCCTTGAACGGTTAATCATCACATGAGGACGGAGCAATTCTCTTTCGGTGTTGGCAACGAAGTGTTTTCGTGCTCTCACAGATGCCAAGTATAGTTCTGATACCCCCCTCGGATTCGGGAAATGGGGGATGGTGGGCAGCGGAAGCGGAGTCGAGTTGTTGCGAATGCAGTGTCAGTGGGAAGATATCTTTGATCTACAGCTGGAACGGTTGAACAATATTCAATGTAGTGAGTCAAGATGACATGTGAATTATGTAGTTGTATCACCCTCGAATGCCCGATAGGTGAACGGGTCATCAGCAGGATGTCCTAGTCCTTGGAGCGCTTCTTTTAGATGATCAGGTCTAGGTGAGCCACCATCAGGAAAGGGGAGCGGTAAACTCACGGGCAACTCGTGTATCATAGAAATGCATCATTAGTCCGACATAATATCGGAACTTTACAAGGGTCATATGGGTGATATGCCTTGTTGAATTTAGAGAAATTGACGATCTTTCAAGGTCGTGTTTATTTTGGGCCGAGGTCAACATCAAACTGCCTCGATCGATCAACTTTCCTTGACGCTGGATAATGATTATGAATAAGCACAACGGCAGAGCACTTCCTCTTGGCTTCCTTGGGTTTCCTCTTAGGGTAGAGGTCGCTAATTCCGGGTTCCCCTGTGATTGTGATCTGCACATATAAATCAGAGTTTGAAGCACTATTATGAGTGGCCGAAGAACGTTGCGTCCCAAAATTGTCGCTGCCATTTGGGCATTAGTCACTGACCAATATTTAGCATGGGTTGAACGATTGAGCCATGAGCGTTCAAGCCGTATCAGCCACGGCTGCACAAATAGTCACCGCAATTCCGTCGGACGCACGGCTGATATCCTTCTACCGCGTGGTGACCACGTATTGGATGGCGGAGACAGGATCACCGAGAGGTTGGATATACATAGCTGCGTGACCTAGCAAGTTGAGTTAAGGCCCGATGATATAATCAAATTCGAATAAGCTGAAAACAATTGCAGAGCGTGTTAGGGATGTCCACCGTACCCGTACCGTATTGATGTTGTTGAGCATGCCGGACGGTACGGTACGACCGTATTACGGACATACGTTCCGTGCGGAAGCGACAGAAAGAAATCTCACCAAATTTAACATACAGTACGCTTTAGAAGTGAGGCCTTGAGGCTGCATGAATCTGTGCCAATTGTCTCACGTTTGAGGTAATCGGGGGACGAGTGTATCAAAAAAGCAACCTCGCTACGCAGTGCAGAGGCCCCGTTTGGATCGTATATGCCACGGACTGGGTGATGATACAATTACATATGTTGTAACTAAGCAAAAATAAAGAAAATATATGAGTTACCGAGACAATGCAAGCTATGCAACGGAGAGAGATAATACTCGAGCACACCTAAAAGGACAGCAAGGACACAACAGAGAGATACGATGGTGTTTCGCCGTTCGCCGGGTACCCCTTGCCTAGCCACTGTTAGGTAGATTCATGAGCAAAAGAAAAGACGAAAAAGCTATTATAGGCATAGCCGATACAAACAAAAACGTCGATACCGCGAAGGACGGCAGTAGCATAGCTGCCAGGATCCTAGGAAACAAATTGCCGGATACCGCGCAAGATGAACGCGAAACGGACATGCAAAGAACGCCGTATGTCCCTCAGTATTCGAAGTCTCAGTAGCACAGAGGTAGATCAACGAAATGGCGAGCGAAATGCAGCATCGAATCCAAGGTTTGGTGGTTCTTCTGGACTTGAAAGTCATCGCTGCTTTTGCCATGGATATCTACTGTGCGGCCATGGCGACAGAGATGGTGGTGGAGGGGGTCGAAGGAAGGAAACTGCATTAGCCGATGGTACGAGGTTCTGTTCGAACATGAGATCTCCCAGTCAAAGGTCTGGAGACGTAAGGTGATGCCCACAGACGTGTGTCGATTTTTCATCTACCTGCGATGCCCATCGACGCCGTAGTTATAAATATAATGAGAAGGAAGCGCGCACATACATGAACCAAGCCGTAGTACCCGGTGATACCGCACGTGGAATCACAAGCAAGTCGAAGTCAGAACTCCCACGCCTATCCTTTCCTTCTTACCACCACTATCACCATCTCTCCTCTTCATGTCGCCTTTCTTTTCCTGTCTTTCTACTGTCGCAGCGTTATCCGTGTCGTGCCATACTGCACCATCTGTGGCTTCTATCGCCATTGGCCACCAATAACCGCTGCTTTTCCTATAAGCTCAGAACCGTCCGGAATGGTATGTTGCCCATCCTGTTTTTATTACTCTGACCATTCTCATTACCTTGTTCAGAACGATCTTCATAGTCTTGTATAGCGAAGCAAACCACTTATTTGTGCCATAGTCGGTGCATATATCCAGGTATACTGAACGGCGAAGAAGGAATCAATGTGACGTCTCAAGTGAGTACTCTTTTTTCGTTTCTTGTTCATTCTCTCAACATTTTTTTCTAGTATAGCAACAATTAGTCCTGAACGTGCCCGTGCTTGTACTTTTCACCTTCATTACCATCTACGCCATCGATGGTGCGATTTCGGCCTTCTGCCCACAGACTTTCCCTACTGTGCTGCACGAATCCGCCACAGTATGCTAAAATTCACAATCTCTCATCTCCAACACTGATTATATCATATCCATTGTCAGGCTACCGGTGCATACCCTACTGGCTCACTCTGCACGAGACGGACCCTATGCCGTTGTACGACACCGATATTAGAGTGATGAGGCGGTGGAATATTGCCGGGGAAGACCACAACGGTGGACTTGGACAGGTATATGGTAAATATATCATTATATGTACACATGGATGCCTACAGATGGGCACAGATGAACAATTTTAGTGCAGTGATAGGGAGACGGCCGTGTAACTATCAATGGAATACCATTACTACCGCTCCTGGCATGCATTCATAGTTATTTCTTGCTGAAAGAATTCTAACACATTTTAGCTGTTCAATTACTCATCAATGTCCTGCATTGATTGATGTTTAGTGGAGGATGCGAAGGCCTTAATTCAGCGATGTGTCATCTCATATTGGTGAGCCGGCTAACGTACATGTCTGAGCTTGAAATTTGTTGAGAGTTGGAGCCGGTTCTTACACTCGTTAACCAGTAAACTTTGACAAGCATTTCACCTCCTTCCTTATACAAATGTTTGGCTATTTCGTTCACTTCCATAAGTAGAACTTTGGAAGGGTGCTCGTGAATGGACTGGGTAAACCTCCCACAAAAGAGAATCGGAGGGAGTCCAGATTCCAAGATTCAAAAAGACTGGATATTATAATCTAATTTCCCAAAAATTACATGACAACAGTGGGATTCGAACCCACGCCCTTTCGGACCAGATTGCTAAAGGATCACATGATGTGACCTGATTCTGGCGCCTTAGACCGCTCGGCCATATTGCCTACGAGCGGATATCCTTTGAGGCACAATATGATGGCTTCAAGTGGGAGAATAAAGTAGAGCCATGGAGATTCTTCTGTATATGGTCTTAGATGTCCATGCGGACTTCCACGTATTGGAATTGTTGTTATGTTTGACGACTTTACAGTGTCCGGCGTGGCTGCAGAAGTATGTTTCAACCCAGCCTTAATTTATAACCACCGAGAGTTGCGGACATGACTTGCCGCACCAACAACTCGGCAGCAATAAATTTCTCCTGAAATGAAAGGCCGGATCTCGCATAACAGCCTGTAGTACCGTAGAGTGAAACTAAAATAGCGACTACACTCCATAGTATACTACGAATTGACCTTCCCAGAAATCTTCCGACTCGTGCACACTAACGTAGGGGTCCATGGGCAGAATATATCTGCAATCCCTCCGGGGAGTTCATCCCATCCTGGAGATCTGGAACTCCGCTTAGATCGCCTCGCTTGCGGTGCAAAGCCGATGGTACATTGAGTCGCTGCCGAACCATATCTGCCAAGAGAATTCTTGCAAGTAAAATTATGAATTGGTTCCATGCGAAGGGTCAATTCGTTCTAGACCTACTTGGAGATTGCATCAGAAGACGGTATTCACCAAGGGGGTTATGAACGTATGTATGGTAGCTTTGCACAGAATTCCCCAGTTGAATGTAGCTTTTGATGACCGAAATAGAGTATCAACATACTGCAGTAGCTAAGTCGACCCTGCGAGTTCATCAGATTCAGTGTAATTCTAAAAGCTCTCGAGGCCGGCTATCATTATTAAATGACTGACACCCGGGGACCACATTTGTTTGGGGTATCAGAACAACAGGATGGTCGGTGTTAGCATGAAGGTACTAGCTAGGTTAATTCCACAGTATCTTGCAATTACACCATCCGGGGTTCAATGCTCGAAAATCTCGCCCGAATTGCTTCGTCAGAGATGGGAGATAGCTATCAGAACATATGTTCCACGTCCAGAATTTCGGTCATCAACAGAGACGTGATTCCGAGTCAAGAGTATCCGGAAATTGGAGCCGCTGCTCCAGGTCCATGCACATGGAACTAATACAGTACGCCAATGTCACCTTGAGTCTTGAGCACAGATACCTAGAAAGGTGCCGTTCTGAAAACTCGTTTCAGGTCCAACAAAACAGATACGTGAAACGTAGTGAGAAAATGTACCTCCAGTAAGCAGCGCGGAAGAAATGCTCCGCCTCTTTGATCCGCTTGCGTATGAAAAAATTAATCTAAAATTTTGTCTAACGTCCCCAGCCTCCACAGCTTCGAAGTACGTACAGGGAATAGAAAAGATATTACCTAGTCCCATGCAATATTAATGTAACGTCAGAACGTCAGAAAAATACCCAACATTTGCTTACTTTCACCGTGTCCCAAGTTTGGGTAAGAAAATATCGGGATGTTTTGAGGCCGAGACATTGTTACATTTTGCGGAATTAGTAGAAACAGCGTGCAAGGCAATCGGTTTTCATGACGCTCATCTATAGGTTGTGAACAACAGATGCTGTATGACATTGTCCCGCAACGTGATAGAGTGAAAGAGACACGTAGAAATGCGAAGGTAGACTTGCAGACAAGCAAAGGAAGATGCAATCGTGGCTTTTCTGCAGTACCGAAGGTAATTGATTGTTGCATCGTTAAGTTTAGGGGATAGACGGTGTGTTCAGTATGAACTGGGTAACATGCCAGTCACGCATCCTATAGTCTACAGAGATTCCCGATTTGGGCTTTCTATCATTGCAAAGCGTATAAATCGGCGGTAGAATAGTAAACAGAAGACGGTGAAATACAAATGAGATGAGGCGTACGGATACACTACCTAGGGGCATCCAAGCGTGAGTATTGCTGATTGAAGGTACAAGGAGGTGGCGGATTCCAAATGGAGCATCAAGAGATATCAGTAACGACGACAGGAACGGCTATTCTCCGCGAATGGTGGAACCTCTCGACTTGGTTCGTGCCAGCCCGAAGCCCACGCTACTGCTAGGTCTGCTTGGGATCCTCCCTAGGTCTACCTGACTCTCCCCGCCCCCGATGATAGCAGGGTCAACGTAGCTTTCCTGGTCAAAGTGCTCGAACTTGCCGTGGGAGCGTTGAGAGAGGTTTGAAGGGACGCGGTGCAGCGAAGGAGGGGGATTCATGCTCATATCAGGGTTGAGGAGGTTCTGAGAACGCATGCTCGGTGTGCGCGCGCGGGAGGGCAGGGGATTGGAGACCATCTCGGGAGTAAGAGCTCCGGTTGATTTGTGTCGAGAGTGAGAACTTGGGGCGCGAGGATGAGGAAAAGGGTTGGGCAGGGGAGGAGAGTCCGCCGGAACTGGCGTTTGTTGTTTGGATGGTGGGGCTTGCCACGTAGAATTAGAATACGCAGACAGAGGTCGGCCTTGTGATTGTTGAGAATGAGAGGAAGGTGGTCCCGTTGGGTGCCAGTTTGGCGCCGTTTGATCCCATTCGTGGTTAGTCGAAAGCTGGACCTGGTCATGAGGTAATGGTTGTTGTCGAGACGGTGGTCTATCGCTAGATAAACTCTCTCGGCTTCGGCTAACGGTTTTCTTTGCAGACGAGGGCGTATGCGAAGACTGTAGCGAATTTTAGAAAAACGAATGCGATATTAACCATCAACCTTACCGGAGTCTGGACACTGATGCCCACGGGCGAACTATTCCCAGCCGAGGTGATGTTAGGGCTCTTCAGATGAGATCGTACAGAAGACGGGTGCCCTTGCACTGGAGGAAGTGGTACATCATCGACGCTCACCGAGCTCTCTCTTATCGGATCCAGATTCCTGAACTTGCCTCTCCCATCGGGTTCTAAGATTCCTAGACCAGTCAACGTATCCACCGATGCATTAAAAGAAGTGGCCCGCGCTGGGGCTGTATAACTGTATTCAGAGATATTATCATCGTTCTTCGCTTTACCCTTGCCCTTTTTGTCTGACTCCTCTGGTTGTGGGGATGCTGCTCGCATTGAGCTATTCCACTCATGTGGAGGAGGCATGCTGATGGTACCACTGGCATCTAATATTGGTATGAAGTTATCAGGAGCGGTGGCATACTGAGGATGATGGTGAGGCTGTGTATATTCCGCAGGAGGAACTTCGACGTGAAATTCACGAACAGAAGGCGAACGAGGCGGGAGTGGCTCTTCCGTCTCAGTTGGAGATAATGTATGAGCAGAAGGAACCGTTGGAGGCGCGGCATGGACAGTAGGACGTGATGGTGGCGGGAAATAGAACGTTTCGGCGGTATCGTTCCTAGGTACTGCTTGTGGTGGTTCCTCATATTCATCCTCTTCCTCCTCATCGGAATCTTCTCCTTCTCCCTCTTCAGACTCATATTCTTCAGTAGCCGCAATTTGGGGCGGCCTGAACTCTCCGATCTCCCGCTGGGCTTGGGCATATCCCGACAACATGCCCATCCGTCTGCCCTCTATCAAGGCCTCAAGCACAGCACGCTTCTGTTCCGTCTTATGGGCTTGCGATCGCGCACGTACAGCGTCTCTCTCTGCGTTCTGCAGCTGGCCAGACACGGTTTCCAACACCTCTTCTCCCCTCTTAATCTCCGACCGAGCATGATTATACTGAACACGGTACATTTCCAGCTGCTTCTTGGCCTCGATGAGCTCCTCATGCATCTTTAATCGACCTTCGTTCAATGACTGAAATCGCTGCACGAGTTGCGCTGAAAACTCATCAGCGGCAGATGCACGCTGTGTTTCCTGCTCGAGTCGCTCCAGCACAACGACCATAGCCTTGCGCATCTTGTTCGCCTCATACTCTTGATCGATTACAAGATGTAGCAGCTGCTTGTGGGATGATTGGCCATGAATTAGCTCGCGCTCCCTACGAAATCGTTCCGATGGTCCGTTTCGTCGTCGCCTGCGACGCTGAACGGCACCTGTCTCTTGCGACGGCGACGATAGAAGTTCGGACCTTGTAGACGATTCATTGCTTGCAGAAAATGTTTCGTTGACGAATTCCTGGACGACACCACTGTAAAAGACGCGTTCGATGCGGCACTATTGACACAGAGATTTGTACTCACCCGTTCCCTCGATGACCTCCGGAATAAGGGTAGGAGCTACTGGCACCTTCCATGGCACCCAGTACGATACAAAGGCTGTCTTTAGTAAATAAACTGTTCAGGACAAGACCATGGTCGTCGAGTAAACAAAGAAACGTCCGCTGCACAGCCACATTGTATCCCGGATTAGGCTTGTTGAATTTCACGCAGCGAAAGCAGAAGTTGGAGAAATAATAATATTCTACATGGGTCGTGGTATAGTTGGCTGCATCATGATCACTGTTAGAGGTAATTAGAGTATATAACAAAAGTCCAAATTCCGCGTGAAAAGATTGCGATGGGAGGGGGGAAAATGAAAGAGACACAAATGAGATAATGTAAGTACGTTTGGGAGGCCCTACTGAAGGTATTTCGTAGAAATATAAGACAAGAAAGGCTACAGCGCTCGGCCGCCCTGCCAAGACGCAGTGCTAGCGCGTCGGTCATCGTATTGTGGATCAGATGGCTGTTCTTGTTGCTGTTGTTGGAACGTAGGTGACTGCAGGTATTGCCCAGAATAATACCCGCCTTCCCCTGATCGCGGACCAGGAGCAAGATGGCCGGAAGAAGACGCAGGAGGACTACCAACCATGGTCTCATCCGAAGCGTGGAAGTCATCATATGCCGTAGCATACGACGCTTCACTCGCTGTCGATCGGTCGACATGGTGATGACTGTGGCTTGATACAGATGGTGGATTACGCACATCCATCTCGTAGGCGTCTCCAGCATCGTACGGCATTGATCGTCCGTGGGTGGCAGGCACATTGATGACGGGTGGTGATAAAGGTGGCGGACTAGAGGCACGATTGCCCCGATGGGTCGTGGCAATGCTTGTTCTCCTGCTGGGGGGTGTGCTCGTGATCGAGCCGTCAGTAAAACGGTACTTGGGTGATGGTAGTGGCGAGGGCG